TCGTGCGGTAAAAAATAACGTCCTATATATACACCGCCCACTCACTTTTGCGAGTTGTTAGGGGAGGCCGTTTCTCACGATTTCGACTACGGCCGTCCCCAGATACACTTCGCATATATATGTGTGCAATAAATATCGCCTATTATGAACCGACGAAACAATTGCTCGCGGAGAACCTGTTCCCTACCCCCGCCACCCCGCCATAAATAAATTATTCGCATCACAATGGCGTCAGTCGAAAAAAAAATCGGGCCATATTGAAAAGTGCACATGATACCCCGGCCGTTGTAAAAACAACCCTTTGACGAGCCGGCAGTGGGTGTCACGCATCTGTGAACATTTAATAGTTATTGTTTGCGAGTCTTTTGTCGCGGACGGGACGGACATGTGCAGTCGCGCACGCGTGTTAATCCCGCGGGAGTATTTTCCCGACGAAGCTACAGGCAGTGGCCTCTATATATCGCACATCCCAAAGAAAACTGTATTAAGTGCCTAAATAACAATTTTATAGAAGAAGCATTTAAAGAATTGATACAATACATTTTGTACTCAGAGTTTATTATATTTATGATATTTGTTATATTGCTTTATTTTTGTTAACTATAATAAGTATTTACAAAATATAAAATATTTCGGTCAACCCCAAAAAACTTTGATTTTGTTGACTTAATACAGTTTTTTCCAAAAAATATAATCTATTTTTTTCCGAATTGTCGATGAAAGGCGAATTAAAACAAACAAATGACTCAAAAAGGCATTTATTTCTAAGCATTATTAGCATTTAGGTTAACACAATTTAAAAATTTAATTTAAAAGTCATAAAAAACATTTTCAAAAAACCATTAAAGCAGAGGCTCGTAAAAATGGAATTTTAAATCCTTTTGACTTTGAAACTCAATCATCATAAATCGAACTTTATTTTTATCACATGTATTCGGCTTTTAAGTTAAGCTGAGTTCATACACTCAAAGTAAACTAAAAATGAAATTCAAAAACAAAAGTCAAATTATTGAAATGTTACATCGTCCTAAAACATTGACATTTCAGTTTATATATACAAATACAAATAAATAAAATAAATAAAAGTTAAACGTGCTATATAAGTTCCCATGAGGACAACTATTTTTAGTTTTTATGTTTTAATGAGTTTTAATGAGTGGTACATCTGTGTTTGAACTACCTGCGTTTTGAATCTCGTCAGCTATGTCGATGTTATTCTGAGTATAATTCTCAATTTATAATCGAAATTTCTATATATCTATATCTATTTAGAAACCAATTCAAAGGCGACTAGTACGTTTTATAAACTTCTTTAAACACTAATTTGCTAAACCCTAGTGCCTAAATAAACTAGTGACTAAAGTGTCGTTTATAAAAAATACCGAAAGAGGTAATTTTTTAAGATCACATGACTAATGGGGTCACTGTTATAAGTCAAATCATCAGAACCAGAATGGGAGAATCTCTCAGATATTATTCTTTGAAAGTGCTAGTTATTAGCCACACCTGGCCTTATGTGACTATCATATCTTCGATCAACTTCAAAAGGCACGGGTGAGATACTTCATAGAATCAGAATTTGTAGTTTATAGAGTCTGCGCAATAGCATTACGTGGGAAACAAAACCCAAGCAATATTGAAGCGATATTATTTTATTACTTAAGCGACAGTTCTCCCTTCTCTGTTTTCATAAATTATGTAAAAACAGGCGCCGACAAAGCAGCGTGTGAGTTTTCAACGCTCGCGGTAGCTACTGTGCTATAAAAAAATCAATTAAAACGGATTTTATTTAATTATGAATTTCCCCAGTCGGTATTACCATTTTTGCCGTGTACTTTTACTTGCTTACAATCGACCAGACCAGCGACGCCGTGGGATTTTTTCCCTGACCATTTGGCAACGATGTAGAGCAGCTATAATTGATACAGATTGGGTCGCAGTTGTCGACGCAACAATGAAATGAATTAAAGAAGGCTAAAAAAGGGGAACTATTAGAATATTATTATTAAATGGCGTAAAGCAAACTATAATGGTCTGCAGTACAGAAAAAGTAGAAATAAAATAATAAAAATGTTTTGGACTTGTTATTTATATTATTTATTTATTTATTTATCATCAGACTGAGTATTTTCGTTAATGTATGTACTAGGCATCATTAAAACATTAAAATTAAATAATACAGCATAATAATAAATAGTAATCTGTTGTCAAAACATTTTTTTATTTATTCTTCCGAAAAATAAATAATTGCACAAGACGAATTCGTAGCGTTTGCTTTTACTCTACTATACCAACATAAAAAAATCGACTGGTTCTGCTTTCTCCCGGGCGCCATGACATGAAACCCAGGCATCGCAAGCCTCCGGTCCATATTATAAATCAATTTCTAATAATAATTATATTTCTGTCATGTCGCTCTGTTCTCGACCGTGCTCGCGGCCAAGATTTATCGTACGCCTTCGATTTGACGAACGGTATTAATGATGCCTGAAATAACAGACCGTATTAAAATATACGGGGGACTGGAGGAGCGGAGTGTCCCACCCACGCGCGACCCGGGTCAATATCTACCGCGTGACGCTAGAAAACCTTCAAAAAAAAATTACCCAACCCCAACCTGTAGACACCTGATTTTTGAGATTTTGGACATTTTGTTTTATTGTTTTTTAAAAATTTTCCTATTGTGTTGTGTAGAGTTTACTGTTGTCTGGATTTGTTTTTTATTTATAATTTTATCTATAATGGACGGATTGTAGCCGTTGTTCAGTGCAATTTGTTTAATGATATTAAGTTCTTTGTTGTAGTGGCGTATTAAGAAGTCTGTGTATAAAAGAGTTAAATGCAGCCATTTTGTGTGTATAAGGGTGATTTGAGCTGTTATATATGACTGTGTCCGTGTGTGAAGGTTTATGATATATTGAAAAATCTAATTTGTTTTGCGTTTTCGTAATAGTTAAGTCTAAAAAATTAATGGAGTTATCCTGTTCAATCTCGATAGTGAATTTTATACGATTATGTAATGAGTTAATGTAATTTAAAAAAGAATTCAATTGTCTGGCCGTTCCAACAAAGCAAGCGAAGACATCATCCACGTATCTATACCACCATAGAAAACTTTTACTTAAAGCATGTTCTAGAATGATATTTTCTAAATTATCCGTAAAAATCTCGGCTAACAAAGGACTAAGTGGATTTCCCATAATCAAACCTTCTTTAGAGATGTAAATCTGTTCATTAAATTGAAATTTTGGTCTAAAGATACTATTAAGCAATCTAATAAATCTTTTTTCACCAATGGGTTAACCTGTTTCCGAGTTAGGATGAAATAAGTTTTTTACATCAAAAGACAATAGTGTTGCGTTAGAAGGGATTTTGATATCTTTAATTTTGTTGATTAATTCAAAAGAATTTTTTATTGCAAATTTTGGTTTAAATCAGTGTGGAACGTAATATTTACTAATTTTGTTGAGAGTTTTGGTGAAACAAGATTTATTAGATTGCTTAATAGTATCTTTAGACCAAAATTATTTTCAATTTAATGGACAGATTTACATCTCTAAAGATGGTTTGATTATGCGTAGCTTTGCATTATGAAATTCGACGGGCCTCACGAATTCCATAAAAATTGTCTTCGCTTCATTAGCCATGCATATTTTCGTAGAAGATGGACGACCAGATGCGGTCATCTGCAACCGGCAGTGTCGTCTTTCAGGTCTACCGGGGGGGTAACTCGATATCCTCATCCTCACTCGGATTTCAAAAACGATCCGCGTTGCCAGCTCGACCTCTATTGTGCGCAGAATCGGCAGTAATTGAAAACGGCATCCACTAATAATTACGTCGCGAGACCACTAGGATCCTCGGACGAAATAATTAACCACTTTACTGACCACATGTTCCCTTCGCTAAACGCAGGAAACGATTTTAATTTATATACAGGGCGTTCCGCAGCAGCATATTTCCTTCATAAACGGGTTTGATTGGAAAGTACGAAAAGAGGCTGAAGTATTTAAAAAGAATTAAAAATCGCGTTTGCAAGAGTCTACAAAAAAGACCATTTTTCAAAAACCGTTTACAAGGCCAAAAAAATTCGGCTCCGTATTTTATTCTTGACAATTTTTTGAAAAAAAAAACTGGAATGTGGGCCCCCAAATTATTGAAAAGTGGCTATATCTAAAAGATCGAGTTTCGCGAATCAGTTGTACAGGGTGTTCAAGGTATTAAGTGCTATATTCAAAAATTAACAGGTGTCTTAAGTTTGCAGCTATCGACTTCAGATTTGGCAGAAGGGTAGAAGTCCACACCCGCATTTCATATGTTGAAAAGGAACTTACTCAAATCACGCAAAGCATTTTTTTAAATTTTTTTAATTTTTTTTTTTTGGTATATTTAGCCTTCCAGAAAAAAATTATTTTCTCGAAAACTATTGACCCGATCGGCAAAAATTGTAAACTAGGAAATGCAGGATATCCGGGACCATAACTTTCATTTCAGGTATTTTTTCCATTATATATATGGTTTTTTAATTATAGACAAAAATCTAAAAGACTTTTATATACGCTGTTCGAAATATTTGAAAAAATCCAAATGAAAATCACCATTTCTCGCCCTCATCTAGACGCGATGATGTCATTTACTATTGCTACGTACTGCGTGGTTCAGAAAACAAGTATTTTCTTGAAAACCACTGACTCTCTTGTAAAGCTATAACCTCCAGTTCGAACATTGTTTGAATTATATACAGGGTGTGTCGTTCATGGGCGAAAAAATCAAAAACATCCCAAAAATTTCCGTTTTTATGGGTAAATTATTGGGGATAAATGCTAAAGATGCGATAATTTGATTTGAACAATATCGTAAACCGTATCGAGTGGGAGTTACAGGTTTCGTCAATTATACAGAGCGCGCGAGATATTTGAAAAAATATCATTCGACAAGGCTATTATTTTATATTCAACAACAAGCAATTTTTCGAAAGCAATATTGTTTCATTTTTGCAGTTGCACGTCGAAGTACGTCGGAGAATACTGCCAGCACCTTAACCCGTGCCACACGGGGAAGGGGCCGGGACCGCGGTGCCAGAACGGGGGCTCGTGCCAGGTCCGGATCGGCTCCGGGGGCGTTCCCAGTTTCGAGTGCCTTTGTCCGTTGGGGTTTAGCGCGTCGCTATGCGAGATACCGATAGCCAACTCGTGCGATCGCCGCCCCTGCCTCAACGGCGGTACTTGTACCCTGAGGTCGCTCGACTCGTACCAGTGCTCGTGCGCGCCAGGATATACGGGTGAGTAGTACTGGAAAATAGACTTACACATATATTGAATTTACTAAACGGAATTCCCTACATTTTTAGGTATACTTAAATAACTGCGAAGAATGTTTGGGTATTACGTTTTAGTTTACAAGAATTGCAGGAAATATAAGAAAGTAATTAAGCTACAACTTGAATTTTTAACGAAACAAGCACAAGACAAATCCCTAGACCATTTTTTCACTTAGATGTTTCATGTGCGATATCAAAGTTATTTCAATGGAGGTTAAACCTAAAATACATGTAGAAATTGCGCCGTATCTACAGTGCTTGAAGAACAAAAACGCCAACTGCAATTATTCACTGCTTTTCCAGGCCTTAACCCCTTTTCTGCCTGAAAATTTAATATTATTTAGAAATATATTGAGAAAATGCTGCTGTAATAATACCGCATCCAAACATCTGTCAGCGGCCATGTTGTTTGCAAGGTCTTATGGGTCCTACGTCAGAATTTGTCATTAGAGCTGTCATTGGTTAGAAACGAAATTTTAAATCTCACGCATGCACGCGTTGAATGGACCTTTACATAGTTGCTTCATGCGTTCCTGTACTGTTAGCATAGTCTAGTAGCTATGTGGTTACAGCTTTGCAAATAGCAAGGCGAGGCGCTTGAACTGAAGTCCCCGCTTTTTATATTTTAATTCTGTCATTTTACATCTCCCCATACACAATAAAATACCGGTTACCTACCGGGGAGCGGTTAATGGTGATTTGCGAGCGTAAACTCTTCTTTTGTCACCGGGCCTCTAAACCTTACAACGTTGCCGCATTAGCATAAAATTCGCCTGCCGCAGTTAAGGTTAGGGTCGTAATTTGCGGGATTAAAGTTTTTAAAAAGGTTCTCGGCGGTCTTTATTGAAATCTGAACCGTTTCGAGAACTATTAAGTGGGTATCCCAAACGAAGAAACTTATATAGTTTGTCTGTTATCTGCGCTATGCAGTTTGATACTTTGGTGGTCAAGATTGTTTACACTTTTCGTGTTGTTGAAAATACCAACTTATATTAAATTAAATGTCTTTAGTTAGTTTAAAGGCTTGTTAAAGAAACTTCCACAGGGCACTGTCATACTTTTCACAAAACTTTTGGGTTGGAGCCTAAAATCTAATCCCGTAATCGTTATCCTAAAAGCAGGTAAAGTAAATGCTACGGTGGTCATGAACACAAATGTATATCCGGAAAAGATTCAAGATTCTTTCAGATGGATCATATCGTCAATATAAATATATAAATATTAATAATATAAAAATAAATAGGTTCGTACTTAATTCTTTTCACCTCATAGAACAATTAAAAAGCATCACATTAGATACACAAGATATTCTGGTTAGTTTCGACGTAGAATAACTCTTTACTAAAGTTCCTATTCCTGAAACTCCCAACATCGTTTCAGATATATTAAAATCCGAGAATCTGGAACCTAACTTTCTCACCTTAATCGAACATCGACTGGACCATATTTTTCTTATAACGGTTAAATTTTTGAACAAACGGGTTCTCGACTATCACCAGTTAACGTTGGGTAATTGTGTTTATAGAAAATCATCCGGTCCAAAAATCGTCAGTTATCAACTCTCTTGTTTACATACTCATAAAACTATCTCACTCCGAGTCACTGAACACAGAATTAAAACACCTTACCTCTGCTCTTCTCTCTAATAATTGCCACATTAAAGATATTAAGCGTTCCATCAGCACCACAACGTTCCAATGGCAATGAGGTCGAAAGCAATCCTATACTTGCTACTGTTTTCCTTCCTTACATTCAAAACATCGCTGACCACATATCAAAAGTTCTAAAGAAATATAACGTCAAAACCACTTTTGATGCCAGGAGTTTATACCATTGCACCGGACAAACGTTAGCAAGTTCGACTCAACAAAACCCGACATAGGAGGAATACAGAAGTATTGTAAAAAGGATTTAGTCACTTGATTATCAATAAAATGAAATTGAAATTCATGAAATATATAAGCATAGTAATGAATACTGTTTTATACAATTTTGACAATATTTTGAAACTTCATTTTGCTTTAGGTGGTCTGCGAAACTTCACATAATATTGAAGAACCATAAAATAAAGATTAGCAACAATACTATTTACAAATCTTCTAAATTCCTCCTGCGTTGGTAATTGATCTTGCTGACGTTTCTGCAATCATCCTATTCGCTTCTTCAGAACTTAACTCAAATCATCAGGGTGATTGGCAAAACGTCAGCAAGTTGGATTTTTCAATAACCGACGCTTGAGTAATCCAGAAGATTCGTCATTGAAATGTCGTTTTCCAGGTAAACACTGCGAGAAGCAGGACCACTGCGCCTCTCAGCCGTGCAGGAACGGCGCGGTGTGCGTATCGGTCGGCGACTCGTACCAGTGCACTTGCGCGCCTGGTTTCGCTGGAGCCGCTTGCAAGGAGGACAAGGACGAGTGCAAGCAGAAACCCTGCAAGCACGGCAAGTGCCACAACACCCACGGGAGCTACACGTAAGTGCTTTGTAGAGAGAACCGCGGTTGGTATTCCTCGTGTTTGGTTTACCAATTAGTGGGTATGTACCGGTAAAACTGGTCGGCTACGTTTGCTTACGGAATTACGTGGTGATCGCTGCCCGTAAGTCTTGAACCATTAAAGAAAGAAAATGCGGGGTCAAATAATTTGTGTTAAGCACCTAATAATACCTACACCGATAGCTCAACCTCAAAAATTAAACCAGGAGTAAAAAAAAAGCTATTCCATATTATTATAACCGAATCATAATTAATTTATTGAAAATGTTATTTTTTGGATAATTTTATTTATTTAGCCTAAAGCCGGAGTTTTCGAAAATCTTACAAATACCAATAACACATTTTTCACTCTATAGGAAAATGGTTACTATTGAGCAAGTTTTTTTTTATTAAATACTTTTTAATAAATAAATAAAACATTATAAATATTGGATAGTGAGGCACGACATCCAAAAGTTTCGTCAAATTTTGGTTACATTAAGTTAGTCAAAAATAAATCGACTTGATGGTTAAATTCCACAAAAAATAATAAAAAGCTTAAATGCCTTGCTCCACCCTTCCTTTATTTTGAACGAGCTAACGTTTCAATAAATTTATAATAAAATTAAATAACAATACATTTTTTTAAATTTTATTATAGTAAAACTAAATAACAATATAAAATTTCCTTTTTAAAGGTCTCTCTGTAAAACGTTCTTTGTTAAGGCTTCCTCTATACAACCTCCCTCTAAAAGTCCCTTTAAAATTTTCTGCCTAAAAGCGTTCAAAGGCCCTTTTAAACGCTCGCTCTTAAAAACATCCCTCTCTAAAATCTCCTTGCCTCCCTAAAAGCTTCCACTTGTCTTGTCTTTTATCTAAAACTCTCTCTAAAGCCTCCTTTTGAAAGGTCTCTCCTTAAAAGTTTTCTCTAAAAACTTCTTCTGCCAAAACGCTCTAAAATCTCTAGAGTTCTATTTCTAAAATTCTCTTCAAGAGCTCCGGCACCTCCCTCCAAAAGCTTTCGTGTGGTTCCCTCTCTATATGAAATCTCTATTGAAATGCTATGTCTAAGAGCCCTATTTCTAAAATTCGCTTCAAGACCTCCCTCACCTCCCTCCAGAAGCTTCAGTTCACATTGTACCCGCGTGCATTATTTTTGCAAGCAAAAGTGCAAAGGCTATACGCGCGGGCGGTATTCACGCGACGGGGTGCGACAAGGCTCTCACTCGGGGCCCCGTTATCCGCGACGTTGCAGTTTGCTTGTACGGCCTCCAGCAAGGACGTAGTAGCATTTTTTTCCTTCAACCGGATCCAACGTGACAGAGAGAAGAGAGGAAAAAATCCAATTAAAGTTACGCGTAGCGGCGACGGCGTAATTAAATGTTTTTTTTTTCACGAGTCGCCGCTATAACGACTTTCAATAATCGCGATGGAAAATGGTTTGTTTGCCTATCGGAACGTTAAACGTCGAAAGACCCGGTATGTTCGTAGTCGTTAATTTTTCCAAATGGCGCCATTATTGCGAGCGACGATAAAGCTCGGGCGTTAAAATTCATCAAACAAATGAAGAGTTGATGTCCTAACGGAAGCCCGTAAAATCTGTAAATAGGGGAGTAAAAAAGCCCGTCAATTTCGCTTCCTTCTTGAGAAAAAATTATCGACTTAAAACCAGACGAAACCTGACTGCCTGTGTGCCATTATACGATCTGGTAACCCATAGGAGATACGAAAAAAAAAAAATAATTTTGTTGATACAAGGTGTCCCTAAATTGTCCCCCCTGACATCAACTTTGTTGTTTTAAATGAACACCCTGTATATATCGTCATTTTTGAAATCCTTGGTTAAAATAAAGGTTACTTTCTTAAGGAATTCCTATTCCAATTTTTTTTTATTTGATATATTTTGATTGCCCCATATAAAATTGTGTTGCGACGCTACTGATACAGGTATTGCACCGAAAATTTACTTACTAAGAAGATCATACACTAGTAGTTTGATGGATGCGACTCAGCTTATACAGGATGTCCCAAATAGGTGGTGCACCTTTGGGGTATTCAATTAACGTTTTTATTTTAAAGCTGTTGTTGGTAATATTAGGTATTTTTTAAACAGGAAATACACGATCCTACTTCTTTTAAACATATAATACTCCAGATGTACGAATAAAACCTATACGGGTGTCATCTTTAACCTCGAATATCTCAAAATGGAAGTAAAATTTAAATATAACATAAATTTCAAACTTACCTACTTTTTGTCCTAGAATTGATATCTGAATAAAAATATAAGGGGTTTCGTTTGAAAATCTTGAGATTTTGTTTATTAAATTCGCCAAAACGGCAGCGCCTATTGGGGACACCCTGTATAAGCTGAGGCAAATCTGTCATACTGATTGAGTAGTGCATCATCTCCTTAGTCTGTGGTTAAATTTTCGTTGCAATACGTGTATCAGTAGCGTCGCAACACAATTTAATGTGGCGCAATCAAAATATGAAAAAAAACAAATAACGTCTATTTCGGCCTAAACTATGCAAAATTCGAATAGGAATTTCTTAAGAAAGCGAATTTTATTTTAACCAGGGATTCCAAAAGTGTCGATATATACGGGGTGTTTCATTTAAAACAACAAAGTTGATGTCAGGGGGGACAATTTTGGGTATCAACAAAACTATAATATTTTAAATCATCAGGAGAATCTAGAAAACTTAGAAAACAATATCGGAGGGGAGATATCAACAAAATTAAAAAAATTAAATCTTCAGGAGAGTCGAAGGAACTTTCGCACGATTTTTTTTTGTATCTCCTATGGGTTTCCAGATCGTTAACAAATGTTCTGGGAAAACGAGTTAAGTTGCGTGGAGACGGCCGTTTAGAAAGAAAATGGTGCGAAGTTGCAGGTAAGTGGGTAAAATTTATAGGCATGCGCGGAAGGCCATTTTAATCTCTTCAAAAATATTATAGCCGCCGAAAGCGGATCAATTTTTACTATATTAGGACCACTATATTTTCTAACAGTTATGTGCCGATCAAATATCAGTTCATCAATCCAATCAATTCAATCTGCTCGCATAAAAATTTCTGCAGAGCAGCTGATAGCAAATGTTTTCTATACAGACGACTTGAATAAGTACACTTTATTACCTTCAGTTTAACACATAAATCCATAAAATAAGTAGAAAAAGCTGCACTAAACTTACGGCCAATGTCATAAATGTACATGAACTAAATACCTTAAAAATCGTATTCACTTACACCCACACTGCCGTACGTGGAGATACGGTCAGTTATTAACAACATATATTTTTTGAATCTACTAGAAGTAAACAGTCCTAAACGTTTCATTTAAGGATTCAATATTAATCACGATCTTTTAGACCAGAATAGCCTCTTGTTTAATGCGCTAACCATAAAAAAAATATATACGCGTTTTATCAGAAATCTATTTGGCACATATCATTCAGCGTTAAATCGGGTTTCTAATTATTTTCTTTCCTCTTACTATTTCTGGTTCCAGATTGAATCCTACGAGATCCGCAAGACAATCCTTTGGTTACATTTGATATTGCCAAGTTGAACTGTTAAAATGCGAAAATTTCTGAACATAAACTGGGTAATTACAATTTGGGATTGCTTTAAATAGTAACAAAATGTTGTTCATAATGAAATATTTTATATATTGTTTATTAATGATTTTTTATACTAATAATAATAATAATAATAATCTGCTAGTATTTGTAAACGAACTGATTTTGCAGAACCTCACAGATTTCAACACCGACAACGACAACGACCGTCAGTACATTAAGACTCTTTGGCTTGATAATTACTCCGACAAATAAAATTTTGCACTTTGCTGCCTGTATGTTGATATTTTTATTAAGAGGGATCTCCTGGGCTTTTACAAAAGTTGAGTTGCGAGAGCTGATTAGGTCTCTGTCACATCAGTGTCCTTGAACTATAGGTAATTCACCTTTGATTAGAAATTGCGATAGTGTATTGCTTATTTTAAAAGCTCCAGAGAAACTAATATGTTATTTACGAATTTACCCTCAGGAGGTTTTGATTTAATTATAGTGTAAGCCAAATCCCCAAACAATGTTAATTTATAGGTTCAACCAATTTCAATAAAAACGGCGGACGCGCGTAATTCGAACTTTCTTCTTGTTTATAGTTACCGTTTCCTCGCTGCGTAGATTATTATAACCCCGTTTATTTATCTGCCGGGTAATTAGCAGTCTCTGAACGCATAACTTTTCCGACTTTCTTGTAAATTATTGTTTAAAATGCACCCGTTTTGCATAAACAAAGTGCCCGCGTTAAAGAACCGTCGCCGCCTTTTAACGGTCCCGCTAATGGCCGCGAAAAACCATTAAATTTTAACATATTAATTATTTTTTACGATGAAAAAACGGGGCTAACGAAACAAAAAAATGACGACTTTCGGTGCCTCCTTTCATTGTTTCGTATCATCGTACACGATGGTTCATCAAGATTTCGAAATTTTTATATCAAAAACATTAAATTCAAATCATATTTTTAAGTTTATTTTGTATAAAAAGCTGGATTTTTTAATATCTAATGAAGAGGTAATAATAAGATTAATAAGATAACGTGTTAATCTGTCCTTAAAAATATTTAAAATCTTTTTTTTATCGAGGAATTAAACGACTTTCAAATCGACAACAAAAATAATTACCAACAAAATAACTCCATTTGTAAAACCTCTCTGAAAAACAACGAGATTTCAGAAGATCTTTTAATGACGCAGTATTTGTAATTAAACAAATTATAGAAAAATCAATTGAGTACAACATACCAGTGTTTTTATGCTTCACAGACTTAGAAATAGCATTTGGATACGTGATACACATACTTTATAACAGAAATATCCCATTTGACATAATAAAAATAATCGAAAATATTGTTAGGCAAGGGGACTCACCAAGCCCCTCCCTCATTAAGCCCCTTATTATTTAATATTATATTAGACGAACTAATT